CAATTTGTTTTGACAAAGTATGTTACCCACATACCCTACTTTGACAGGAAGCATCTTGGGCAGAAATTTCACAGGTAAATGAAAATGCTTTACTTCAGTAGTACTTACTTTGCTTGGAAAGAGAAGAAGTATGATAAAAATGATTCTTCACAGAACCAAAAACCTTGATATAAGTAGTACACTATTGCCTCTATCTTTCTGTTGTTCTGTGTCCTGTTTCAAAGATTTATTTTTATGCAAACAAGAGAGGGCTTAGATATTGTTCACAATGCAGTAAAACCCTGAAATGACTTTGAGGCTGAAATGTCCTTGGAGGAAAATCAAAAAACACTGAAAGCTACTGTCTATTTTGTTAGCACTGGATAACAAAGACTTGTTCTAACAAGTTATCTTATCAGGTTTTACCTGTAGTTCACATGCTAGATAGCAATCCAGTTCACATTTTTATAAATGTGATGTTTAAAACATGTCAATAAATGTTTTGTACATAATGACAGTTTCCTATGAATAACTTACAGACTTCCTCTGAAATCATTCTTATTTCAAATGCCAGGATAAGAACATAAAGGTTTGTAAATTATTTCTTGACTTACATCATTTTGTATTAAAACAAATGCAAAATGTTCTTCAAAATAAAACTGTGTAATAATTTTATTATACTTGGGACTCCTTTTACTAATAGGTTTTCACCGAGAAGCTCCAAAGGTAAAACTGCATTGTGTGGAGAACGGAAGGGAATGTGTGGGATATAGTTGTCAGTCTACATTATCATAGTGTGCCAGTCTTTTATGAATGATTGGTGTTAACCACACAGATATGGAGTGATTACAGTGTTCCGACAAAAAAAGAGTGCTATTACTTCCCTACTATCTAGGTAATTATTATCTCCTTAGTTACAGATCTATGGAAACAATGAGGAAAATCTGACCAAAATCCCCTAAAATGTCAAAACAAATCTTTCATGCTGTCTGCCAGCAAACACTTGGGTAGGTTATGCAGTAGTAAGTCACCCTATTACACTTTCCCACCTTACAGGAACAAACTTTAAGAGACCAAAATAGAGCCTTCTGGATCTGGTGTCACTCTGAAATAAGTAGTTTTCACTTCCACCTACTGTGGTGTACCCACTTCTGAAAACCACCTTTTAAGGCAACTGAAATTGAACACTAAAAAATGAGGAGGAAAAAAATCCCAGACTAGGTTACTTAACTGCATGGACTTCTGATAGCACATCAAATTTGGCAAATTGTGCTGAATAACAATCATTTTTCTGGCGAGACACAAAACATTATGCCGACTTCATTGAATTTTCTTGCAGTACGGTTAGTCCTCAGCTTTCAGTAGTCTGATGAGAGACTGTTTAGGGCAGATATGATATTTTATGAGCAAATAGTCCTTAAAAAAACCCAAAAACAAATAATGAAAGAAACTGAGTTACAAACCATGTTCTATATAATTAAGGTTTAAGGGAAATCATTCATCTATATAGATACATAGGATGAATACTTGTGCAATTTTATTACTGAAGTATATGGAAAAACATAATATACTCACAATTACACGGTAATTGTCATCCTTAAAATACTGCTAATCATAATAATTACTCAATACAAAAATTAAGACATTATCTCAGCAATTAAAATGTATTTCATGAGTTTCCAAATTTGTTTATATATGTATATAATGACAGAAAATGTTAGTAAAGAATTAAACATTGCTAAGTCTTTTACAGCGAAGCGAATTCACTGAACGAGTGAATATGTAAAATATATTCCCATTTGAACAGTGTCTCATTTTTAGAGCTTAGACGACAGAAGAATAGAGACTAAAAACTATAACACCGTAATAAGATACATTTGGGTTGTCTCTGCAATAACTTTTTTTTTTAACTATAATTTTTAAAAATGCATAAATACTTTTACTAGTCCTCAAAGTATGTTTCTATGTTTATTTTATAGCAAATGCACATTCCAAGCCCCCTTTCCAGGTCTCCAGTGTTTACATAGCTGCCTCATTTGGTTGCAGCCTAATTGAAATAAGACACTTGGAAAGGATCTTAAGTTGCAGAAACATCAAAAATTCTGGTGTACAAAACCTTGAGTGGCATTACAGGAATTAAATGTAATGCAGTTTTACAAATGCTGCTATTTTCTGCTGCTTTTTAAAAGCACCTTGAACTGAAATATGTGTACAAAAGAAACGCTTTGGTCATTTTTCTTTCTTAATGTTATTGTCTGCAGCCAGAGACCTCCAACTGTGTCTGAAGCATCTGCAGCAAGCTATTAACATGGAAATGCTGGTGTGCTCACTTGGCAAGTCTGTTGCTGGTTCAGGCCATGCTGGCAGGTCTTGTAACATACAAATTCCTACATCAAACATCTTTTACAGTTAACTGGGTTTGAATACATAATATAGTATCATCTCTGCATTTACACAAAAAATATCTGGGTAGAACTGGGAATAATATTCAATTGCGTACTGTATTATTTTGTTAAATATGTAAAACTCTGGAATTATGAGTCTGTGTTCTGCAGTCCGCTATGGTGTAAAAGGTGGTTAATTTTACCTAGCAGATTGCCAGTGCTCCACAGAGCTTATTAGAATATCTTGTAGCTGTTCTAACTATCCCTTAGCAGACTTGACTCTGCTAGGAGTAAGAACAATTTTAACAGGAATTCACTATCAGCAACCAGGTACAATGTAGTAGAAACTAATGGTAGCATGATGCAATCTATAGCTTTCCCCAGGGCACCAAAGCTTTCAAATATGCAAGCTATTTCTTTAGCACTGCATCAAAGGAATGTCATGTGAAACCTCAACATTCTATAGCAGTGATACCTAAATTAATAAAGCAACTACAGTTCACAGCAATGAAAATACTCAAGTGTTTAGAAGGGAAGGAATCTGCATGCTGTCTATGTATGTTTAGAACTCCAAGAAAAGATGGTGATGTTTCAGAAGGAATGCCTGATCATCTCATTTCACGATGGGGCAATGTGTACCTGAACACAGACACATGCAGTTTGGCATGTATATCTAACCTTGCTATGTCTTCATCATTTTAGAGTTTGTCATAATGGCAGGGGATACCTCTGTGTGTGTTCAGAGATAAGTTATGCAAGACAGTGTCTAGTTAATTCTCTGCAGTTGCATAGTAACAATTCCCATCCTGCATGCCTAGAATAGAAACTCAAGTCGTACATCTGCAAAAGCAGGAATTTCAGTATTCTGTCTTTCCAAATTGTGTCCCCTCTCAACTGCACAAGACTGTGGTAAGTCTCACCAGTATATATTACTCTGAGTATCCTAATACTTTGTATTCAAATGACACTAAGATGCCTACTGAATGCCTTTAAATGAAAATCTCAAAAGCACAGGTGCTGAATGAAAACTATTTACCATAAACAAGGACACCATTCACAGTACATGCTTTCATCAAATACACAGCTGTATGAGATGAATTGTCTCATTAACAGTTATTCAATCACCTATAACTTAAAATATTCTTGCTCTTCCCCTCATTCCAAAAGAATGCATCACATACATAGGTAGAAAGGTTTTACCTCTGTCTCCTTTTGTAGCATAGTTCACTGCTATCATCTTTCATCCTCACAAATTTTGTCTTTATGCAGATGCTCTAATGAATTAAGTCCTTTCCCTCAGTTAGCAGCAAGGCTTCCAACTCAGCACCAGGTAGAAGTATCTGCCTTAAACATCTGCAGTTGTCCTTCTAGCCAACACCTGAGTCAGCAACCTTTTTTACAATGTGCTCAAATGTTGTACAATTCCTTTTTTTTTCCTGAAAAAAAAAAATGTTTATTCTGTTTACCTCAAGTCCTGATCAATCTTAGGCTATAGAAGCTTTTTCTTTTAAAATCTGACAGCTGCTTAGTCAAAAGTTATTTTAGAATACTTAATAAATCCAAACAATTGATTCCATTTCATTCAATGAGCTCAATTTCTTTAGCTGTTTGCCTTTATATGTTGCTTTAAATGAGTACCTGAAGGTTTGATGGAGAAAACATCAATCATGTATCTTGCTTTACACATCTGAAGATAATATACAAATTCTGTATATATAACAAAACATATAAATATCAGCTCCTGTTCTACACTTTTCAGGAAAGTAAGCTTCTGATAACTCATGTATGTCTTCTTTCTGAATACTATCCAATTCAGACTCCTAAGTTTGGTGAAGTCTGTTTTTCAGTGAGGATTTGTAAACTGTGCATTCCTTTCATAAAAACTCCACATTTGACAGATTCTCAACACATGCAGATTCCTCTCTCTCCTGTTACTTCTGATATGAACTAGTTTGGCCTGTGAATATGAAATCACATAAAAGCTTACATTTACTTAACCTTTCTTTGAGGATGTGGGGGTTACTGACTAGCTGTTATCCTGGGTTAAATCCTGGGATTTTAAAGTCCTTCCTTTAAATAACAAGGCATATTATAATAGCATGCATTAATCTCTTCTATTCCTTGTGAAATTGCACAGTAGTTTTGGTTTGTGACAACTGTCCTGTCATTTAGAAATAGCTTCTCTCCAAAAAACGATTTTAGTTGTGCCACAAAAGGTCTAGAGGAAGCCACATAAATGCTCTGAGGGCTGGAGCACCTCTCCTATGAAGGCAAGCTGAGAGAGCTGGGGTTGCTCAGCACTGAGAGGCTCCAGGGAGACCTTAGAGCAGCCTTCCAGTATCTAAAAGGTGCCTACAAGAAAGCTGGAGAGGGACTTTTTAAAAGACATGTAGTGACGGGACAAGGGGCAGTGGCTTTAAACTGACAGAGGTGAAATTTAGATGAGACATTAGGAAGAAGTTCTTAACTGTGAGAGTGGTGAGGCACTGGCACAGGCTGACCAGAGAAGTTGTGGGTGCCCCATCCCTGTTAAATGAAATAAGCTGCATAAGCCACCTGATTAAAAACAAACAAACAAACAATAGCTAGAGAAGAGAATCGTTCAAACCTATGGCTATTTTAATAGGATACATTAATTTTGTTGGCATGTTCAGTATGAAACACCAACATGCTGGTGAAAGTTTTTAAGTGGCAAAAGATCTAGGGGGTGAGAACACTTTTTTTATCTCTGTGTTTCCAAGGTCCTGGGCTTATATACAGGAACATTTTTCTCCCGAAGTGATGGGAGGCCCTTAATTATATCTGCAGCTTTCTCTGCTATCATAATAGTTGGAGCATTCAAATTACCAGTTACAACACTAGGCATTATTGAAGCATCTACTACTCTTAAGTTTTCAACACCAATTACTTTTGTTTGGGGATCGACTACAGCAGTGCTGTCTGAAAGGTGACCCATTTTACAGGTGCAGGAAGGATGATAAGCACTCTCTGCCTTCTGCCTTATGAAAGCATCTATTTCTTTGTCAGACTGAACATGGCTTCCTGGTTGAATTTCAGGGCCCTGAAACTTTTCAAAAGCTTTCTGAGCAAAGATCTCTCTGGTCAACTTGACACATTGGCGGAATTCCCAAATGTCTCTTTCTGTATGGAGAGAAAATAAGAAAACTGTAAGTACACCCTTAATTTAGGAATACATACAGAGTGCATGACAGAAAAAAATAGCACCAAAGAGAAAAGGGTAGAGGGTAAGTCTCTCACTGCTGAAAGCCATAACAAAGTAGGATGTTTTTCAAAGTCACAGATATACATTCACTGTGAACAAAACCATCACTTATACTGCACAGTCCCAAAAGGAAAGAGGTGAGTTACGAAGAATTGCTCTTTATTTCACTGTATTCACTGTCTAGCTAAGGACACTAGTCTCAGACCCATTCCTTCACAAGCAGAGGAGTGGATAAAATGAAGAGTATGATGCAGCAAACATAAGAACCCTGACTGCATCCCCAACAGGTAATTCTTTTTGGTTTATACAGTGCTTTGCACAGTGGCCTCTTGATACTAGCTGCTTTTTATAAATAAGAAATAAATAGCAATGCACCAACCAGCACTGCTGCTGTTGAGCAGATACGGAAATCTGCTACTGAAACAGGCAGGAAGTGAGTTGACATCAGAGCAAGGGGAGGCTGCATTTACCTGTTGACATGTAGTTAGGCTCAATGATGGGATGGTCATTTGGGTCAGTACTCCTCAGCTTTAGCCAGCCCACACTCGTGCTCCTCATGGGTCCCACATGGACCTGCAACACGCACACTACGCTCATGACACAGTCCCACCAGACTTATTCCCAAATTCAGTATGAAGTTTATTTTTCGATTTGGACAGTCTTTACAAATTAAGCACATGTAAGCATTAAAGGGAGCAAGTGGAAAATGCCATTGAACGTTTTTTCTTTTTATATGAATTTGCAGTAAATATGATATTTCATAAGGGAAGGGAATATACCTGTCTTATCAACTCACGACTGTTCTTTTAATTTGAAATACAGCCATTCCTATTTATTAATAGCAGAGCATTCAAATACAATCAGCAAGCAGACCTATCATCACTGAAGAGATTAGCAAGAAGAAAAAGGTATATTCAGGAACAGTTCCCCAGCATTAGCACACACTTTTGGATCAAGACCATAGCCTAAAACGGGTCTTGGATTTGTGCCAGTGAATACGTCGGTGGCCTCATATATTCTCACTTAAACCTCTGTCTAAACTGCAGTGGGAGAGGGAACACCTCATTTTAGGTTTTGTACAGCATCTAGCGCAAATGTGTCCTTAATCAATTGCAATATGGTGCTTCACTACTGCAAATACTTAAACAGCAGTTCAATACTTGCCTACCTTTTCAGAGATAAAAAGTAAAAATTTTGATTGCAATATCAAATAACAAGCTCATGGTTTTCTCCCTATGTTGGAGGTTAAGCCAGCTCTTTTGTGTTATACTGAACAAAATATTCTTCATTATATAACCAAATTATCAATATTTATAGTAAAGCATAAGCCTTCTTGCTAATCATTACAAAACATTACTGGAAGATGTTCTTCCACAACTCACCTGGTAAGCTTCCATTGTGGAAGCAACCCGACCGTGATCAATCACCTGAGAAGGGAGAAAGTGGAACTGAATGTCAGGGTGAGGAACCCCTGCTTCACTTCGGATAAACCCACCAGATTCTAAGTGGGCAGTTGCTCCCTCACCTAGAGAGTGTAAATGAGAGAGAATATGCCATTAAAAGACATCAGAAAAGCAAGAAATCCACTTCTTAACCCTTGGTTTCACTACTATGAATAATTTGTATATACAGTGACAATTGCAAAGAACACAAATCCATTTTGAACAACTTGTAGTTTAAGCAACACGCATCACTTTCATCTTCTTTTCAATCACTAGATACACGTAAATATGCATAACTTTGGAAATTCCACATATTTGAGAGCGGGATATTACAGTTATCTCAGTGTAACTAGCAGGCCTAGCACCTAAGTCCAGAGGCAGATTTGGTCCCAGGATCCTAACAGATGTGAAGGGAAATGACTGCAGCATCCTGACACTACTACACTGCATGCTCCATGACATACAGTATAGTTATTCCATCAGTTACAGGTATCAGGCAGAGCCATCCAGAGCATCTGCCCCGAAGGGGAAAGATTAAGAGTCTACAATGCACCTCATGTTATGTTCTTTTTGTATCCATTTAAAACCATAAATTAGCACTCAATATTTACTTGCGTGGCAAAAAGCCACATATACCCAGCATAAGTTGTGAAATACTAACACCATAATTCAGATACTATAACTATTGGAAATATTCTGATTTAGAAAGAAAGAAACAGCAAGCAGGCTCCAATTATTTCCCAGAACATAAAAAAAATCATATATGAAGGCTCCCAGACTTTGGAATTCATGGATAAAAGACTGTAATAATTCTAAATCAATCAATGGTAGCATGATTGCATACTTTGTTTCATACCTGTAAACTTCCAAAGCCATTCTAGACCAATTTTCACCATGTTAACCGGCTTTTGTGCATTGTATAGTGTAATAGGTTTGGTGCACTTTTGCTGGATGTACACTTCTAAATGATCTTGAAGGTTCTGGCCTACTCCTGGGGAGGAGGGAAAAATAAGGAGGGGTGGGAAGTTATTTATTTCACCCTGAAGAATTATACATAGCATTTGCAACCAGAAAATAGCATAAATGGGAACTAAACTCAGAAGCACAGTGATAACTAAAACCATATCAACCTTTTGCTCATGTCAGAATAAGATTTTACATAGCATAACTAGAATGAAAATAGAAAACTAAATGACAGACGCATCACTTGTTCTAAAATTGCTAGATGACTTCTAAATACAGTACATGCTTTTCTAGTTTTAAGGAAATTTTCATGTTATTCCTTCTATCTTTGAATATATATGACAGTGGGAGTTTATCCAATCTGTTGTGGATCAAAATTAATTTGAAATTCTAAACTATAAGTATACTGCTTTATTTAAAGAGTATTCAGTGGCATTTTTCAGAAAGGCAATTTTCACTATCAAATGTAGTGAAGGAAGTGTAGGAGTTTATTGCTCCATTCTAAAATCAATGCAGGTTTCCACTGATTTGTAACACATACTTTTCGGTCCACACAGCCTGACATAAAGACAACTTAATTTCATGGATTCATTTCATCTAATGGTCTTTGAATTGCATCCATAGGAAGATGTAAAGTTAAAAGAAATGAAATTACCGGGAAGGTGGCAAACAACAGGGATCCCCAGTTTTTTTAGATCATCTGCATTGCCAATCCCAGACAGCATAAGCAGCTGTGGAGAATTTATGGCACCTCCACTTAAAATAACTTCTTTACTGGCAAAAGCCTAAAATGAAATGAGCACAAAAGTCCTAACATTATTAAGCCTGATCTGAATGCAACCAACATGCCAAGAGCTTCAAATGTTATTCATGTTCAGATGCTATTCTGATCCAGATTAGACACCCTTCCCCCAGATTCTCCTCGTTTTAAATGTATTCTTATCCTGCCAGGAGTTTCTGCAGAGAGAAATGATTAAGCTTTCACTTTGATCATTTCTATATTCCCTTCAAACTGTATGTATGGCACACAGACATTCAGCTCAGCCAGTACTGTGGCTGCCAATAGACTCCTCTGCTGCTTGCTAGGAAAAAAATACCTACGATACTCGGATCAGTCAGCTAAGCATCGCTTCCAGTTTCAGTATCACTTTGTAAATTAAAACTGAAGCTCTTAAGGATGATATTGAATTCAGAGACATGCTAGCTCAGAAATTATCAAGAGCTTATTTTCTTAATTCAACCAAGACTAATGCTTGGTTTCATAGCTCTCTAGTCTGTAGACTGTAGTCCTCAGAAACCCCTCAAGCACTAAAGCACTACTGGGAGAACTCTCACTGCAGGCACATATATAATTCTGTTTTGCTACCTCTTCCCTGTTGCCACATCATTTACGTTTAGGATCAGAACTATACCACTTAGTGCTTTTCACTGTTAAAAGGGAAAACGGCATGGAGTAAGAAAATATTGGTGCCCTCATACTTTCCCTCTACTCCTTGAAAGAGGACAAATGTGGGTGAAATCAATGTTGTTCAAACTATCTCTTTCTATTCTAATGAGGTGGCTCATGAGCACACACACATTAGATGTACTCCATCCTCCCTCATCACACTTATGTTGCCTGTTGAAATGTAAGATGTCCTTTATATCCACCCCAAGTTTCTGAATAGAAATGGTTGCATGTTAGAAAATAGGATTTGAGATTCACCTGTACTTAAGACAGAATAACTGCACCACAGAAGAAACATAAAGTAAGCAACATTTATAATTTATGCAAATTCTAATAATACCTAAGCTCATCCAATGATTTAAAGCAACACACATTTGCAAAAATAACACCATAACTTGTATCTTTTATTTCTATCAGCATGGCCACAGTGAGGAAAAAATTAGATGAGGCACAAAACTGTGCCCCAAACTTCTCGTTAGCAAGCAAAACCCACAACAGTTCAAGCAAACATATCTGATATTGCTCATTTTCATTCTCTAATTTCATAGAATGTAAGATGCTATCATGAGTATCTCCTTGGTTTTACTTTAGATGAGACATTTGTCTTCCAAAGCAACATTAAAATGTGCTATTTTTTCCTGGAGTATGGTGAAGTGTTAACAGATTAGCATGGAACGTGTATTAAATTGTAGTAATCCTGTCCTTTTTGAATGACACCTCAACTATACAAAATGATGGTAAGAAATATAGTAAGAAGATTAATTTTGGTATTTTTTTTCCCACACTCTTTACCCAATATTGTTGACAGATAGCCAGTGCTAATGTTTTTTGTTTGTTATTGTTTTGCTCTGGGCAATCATTAGTTTGTTAAAACTAATACATGGCATATCTGTAAGTACTGAATCCATACCTAGATATGTATTTTGCATAGTATACAAATATAACTCATTTATATTTTCTTAGGTACACACAGAACTGGTGCCAGTTTGTTCCAGGTAGTCTTCAAATGATGTTCATTGGGTCTATGCTTACTGCAAAGTCAGCACTGTGGTTATTCCTGTTCCACATATAGTATTTCATTGTGCTTAAAGCTAACATGCAAAGAGGAAAAACTGACTTTGAAATATTTTTGTATGAGTTATTTATTCTATGAAACATTACAAACATTTGTCCCCTTTAAATACACTTTTCTGCTTGAATCTAAACTCAGAAACTCCAGGAATGTTCAGCCTACCTTCCCTACTTTTGCCAGAGGGTTTATGGGAGTTCTGGGAGCTCTCAGTGTCTACTGAAGTAACAACTAAGTCACTGGCTTGATGAACAGTTTCTGGATTGTGCTTGAATCTGGTTTTAATGATCTTTTAACTTTATTGATGACTGATGTAAAAGAGATCCTACCTAAAATTGACTGTAAAATCAATAACACTTTAATATAATCAAGTGTTTCATTGAGATGTTCTTAACTTAATAAAATTATTAGCTCTTCCATGCTGTAGGTATAAAATTTTCCAGAAAATAAAAGCAGAGAAGCCCTCCAAGTTTGATGATGGGGGGGAGGGAAATCCTTTGAAGGTGTACTCTAAATATATATTATTCACTATGTATAATTCATACATGTATTAATATGTATGAAAATTCATAGCAATTAAAGAATTTTGTGGTTAAAGTCGTCCAGTATTCAGAAGGTCTTTGATCACGTTTATTCAGCTTTCCAACACTTTCTCCAACATAATTATCTTGATACTGCCACAGCAACAGCAAGTAGAGACACTGTTTTCACAGACATTTAACAGCTCATTAAAATTATTAAATTTTCTTCAAGTTTTGTTTTACATTGTTAAAATTATTATCATTACAATCCACTTGAAAAGAACAGATTTGTTCTGTGCATTAAAAAATGACAAAAGAGATTATTTAAATTGCATTTTATCTCTTAGCACGTGTTCAGTTACAGAACGCTGGTCTGTTGAGTCTTGTAAGCCTTGCTGAACTCAAACCACCAAAATTTGTACTGTCCTCCCTGTAGGATATTGCTATTACCCTGTTTAGTTGTTTTATAATTGTTTGTGGCTAAATATCTAATTATTAACATACAAGTCCCTTTTAGGCAATTTCCTGATTATGTACTCCATAATCAGCTGTAATAGTAAAGTGTTAAGGGAAATGGGAATATTTGAGGTCTTATGAGGGTCAATGAATTGAAAGCTGCATAAAATGAACTGTTTATCCACAGTTAAGTTGTAAGCATCCTTCCACATGATGTCATGTTCAGTGGAAGTTGGACTGATACTGAAAAATGTTCATTCCACAAACAACCATAAGGCGCATTTCACCATTGTGTTTCATCATTACTATCCCAAGAGTCAATATGTAATGGCAAAATAAAGTGAACGACTCATTGTTTCCCCTTGAGTCATCCATTTCATTATCCAGCTTTTACAGATTTTCCTATGTCACAATAGCATTCTCAGAATTGTTTTTCAGAAACATCAGCATTTCAGCACCCTGTTCAGTACACTGAAACAGTACATGATTGCATCACAGGTTCCAAACAGCAACATTACATAATACTCTTGCGTAACATCAAGTTATGACTTGCTCCCTCAGTACCAAGTGTTGGAAATATAATGGAGATATTAATCCCTAACTCAATTCAGCTGAAGTATCTAACTCGACTCAGCTGAAGTATCATCTACTGCTGTACTGGAAAAGACAACACAGCATCTGAACAGCAGATATTTTGCATGTTAAAGTGCCACTTCTAATAAAATTTTGTTTTAAAAAATTTGATTTTGCTCTGACTCATACATTTCATAGTGGAAAATAAAAATTTCTTACCTTTTTCCTTTGCCCATTTTTCACATACTCAACACCAATGGATTTTGTTCCTTGAAACAAGATTTTTGTTACAAGTGTCTTCTCTGCAACTGACAGATTTGGGCGTGATATGGCTGGGCGAAGGTAAGCACTAGCTGTGCTCCATCTTTGACCTACAATATGTATTTATATTGAACAACAAAACAGTCATGTTCAGTATTCATCAAAAATTCTGAAAACCTGTTCTCCTTCCCAAACTTAACTATGAATCAAGACTCGCATGACAGTGTAAGTTTCAGTGAAATACACACTAGACTAATAGCAAGCTGCTGTGAAATGAACGGGGTGTAAATACAGAGTGCCACAGCTATTTAGTAATCTAACCAACCAAATGGCATCCATGCAGCTTATATGTTCATATTCCAAAATGCTTTCTGAGGTACCACTGGTGAGTCAGGAACACAAATTAAGGACTCCTTTATGATTTACCTTGGTGCACAGTCATGTCCATCCAGCCAAATCCTTCTTGTTGATAGCCATTCATATCATCTGTGAAGGGATACCCAGCTTGCTGGGTTGCCTCCAGGAATGCATGATGAAGTGGATGGTTTGTTTTCCCTCTTGACACATGCAGGGGTCCATTTCCACCTCTATACTGATCTGGCCCCAGTTCATGTGTCTGTGCCTTCTTAAAATAAGGCAAGCAATGCTCATAGTCCCATCCGATAGCCCCTTCCCTGCTCCATCGGTTATAATCTTCTGCATGCCCACGAATGTATACCATTGCATTGAGAGAAGAGGAGCCACCCCATACCCTCCCACGGGGCCAGTACAGAATTCGGTTATCCAGATGCTTTTGTGACGTTGTGTGGTAATACCAGTTGTATTTCTCATCACAGAGGTTGTATGTTAATGCGGCAGGCATATGAATCTTCCACATCAGTCTTTTACTACCTAGAAGAGTGTCTTTAGGGCCTGCTTCCAAAAGTAGTACAGTACTGAGAGGGTCTTCTGTCAACCTGTTGGCTAATACACACCCTGCTGATCCAGCTCCAACAATGACATAATTATAAGAGTTTGCCTTTTCAGAACTAATCTGAGAAGCTGCACGTGAAATTTTGAATTGTTGTTTGTTGATGCACACTATGTTCTTTAACAGAATTCCTGTTACTTTGTGCATCTGATTCACAGGACTGCAACATTTAACTCCTTTCATTAAGTATGACATCTTTACTGGTAGTATCACTCTTGCAGAATTGCTAATTTTTACCCTAGAAAAGCAAACAAAGAAAAATCTTAATTAAGATGTAAGTGTTCATATAGTGCATGATCTCTACAATCATAGAATCGTAGAAAAGTTAAGGCTAGAAAGGGTCTTAAGATCATCTAGTTCCAGCCCCTCTGCCATGGTGTCAGTCATTTTCCGGTAAAAACAATGCACTTTACCCATTTTCTCTATCCAAAAGGTTAACAATAATGACCATAAACCAATAAACATTTACTCTGGAACTTACTGTCTTATACTTTCAGTGCAGTCTCTGCATCAATGAAGTGGCATACTATTTTGTATTGTATGCAGTCTGATTTTGATTTGCTTCTGGTTCCTGAGATAGATAGAAACATGAAGTACAATATCAAGCATTTGCTAAAACCAGACAGGATAGAAACCTTTGCTTACCCTGTAGTCTCTCTTCATCTGCCTCTAGTAGGTAAGAATTTAAGAAAACCAACAATTTCACAAACTTCTCCATAAATTTGGAACACTCAGTGATATTGCTTAACCAATTCACAACAATGGAAGTGATGGGTCTGACCACTGTACCTTCTGACAGACCATATCTAGGACAACGTCTCTACAAAACAAATGTGTAACAATGAAACTGGGTTTCAGCTACTCCTAAGGGACCACTGGGTTTTGTAGCGTGTCTCCTAACATAGGCAAAATCTGTTCATCTGTGACTTTCTAGCTTACTACTAAAACCACATCCTGCAGGAGTGCTCCGGGTACATTCACAATCTTAACACCACCAGATCCTTACCCAAGATTGGAATGGCTTTTTTTTTTTTTCACCTTCAGAAAAGCCTGTGAGCCTTGTAAGCAACACAGGTTTGGCTCCCTGTTGCACAGGTTCATGTACTGGGACGAAATGCAAGATCTTCACATCCTGAGTGTCATAGATACTGATGCTGCTGGGCATTCTGAAGTATAGAATCATAGAATGATAGAATAGTTAGGGTTGGAAAGGACCTTAACATCAACCAGTTCCAACCCCCCTGCCATGGGCAGGGACAACTCACTCTAATCCATGTCACTCAGGGCTCTGTCCAACCTGGCCTTGAACACCACCAGGGATGGAGCAAGTTTCCCTTCCTCTCTCCCCCTGAAACCACTCCTCTTGGTATAAACAAGTATCCAGGAAAATGGATATCCTTGGGCTCTAAATAGTATTTCTTCCTGGCCCATGGCTTCTGTCTAAGCTGTTGCTATGGATTCTAGAGACAGCAACCTATCCAGAGGCTGTTATATTGTAATGCACTACCCATCCAAAAGACATAAGCAAGCCTTCTTCTGAAAAAAACCCTGAATACTGTATTATATCTGTGAAAAGCAATTTTTCAGAAATTAATTGTTACATTGATTTTCATATATTTGATTTGAGGGTTTTTTTCCAATAAAATGTGCCTTAATGGATTGTTGAAATAATCAGCTTTTCCTTATAAAAGGTGGAACAGAACTGTACTCATTTTCTAGAGTGAAACACTACAATATAAAGTTTGTGAGAGCACACACGAGCTCTTAAGGGCAGGCTGCTGATAAACTTTAAAAGTCTTCCACGTACAACAATATTTATTGACAGTTTGATGTACAATCTCATATGCAAAAATACTGTTTTTCCTCTTGGGAAATGGATGAGAAGAGGCACACATCTCTTACTCTTCCTAGGAAAACTTGTAATAGGCTGTACAAACCCTCAAAGTCATTGTCACCTGGCTAATTCAAAATTGATCCCAGCTGAAGGTGAGGGGTTTGTCTTTCTACAGGTGGAGACTATTAAAGAACCTTTTCTTGGAACAGAGGGTTCAGCAATTTCCTGTGATGCAGCAGGAGAGGATAAAAACCTCTCTGTTTACTTGTGGGGGTTTTTGTGTGTATGTGTGTGGTGAAGAGAGTACAAATTCTGAAGCTCTTCTGCAACTGGTGGGTTATGGGATTTTATTGCTGGGTTTGGTAGAATATGAGCTTGGGCCTGGATAACCTGGGAAAGATGCTTTGTCTCTATAATGTGAGCTTTGTTGGCTTTTTTATTTTGTTTTATTTTCATTTTTATTTTTATTGGTGGAGATTCACCACAGTAAGGTAAAGTGATCAACATTACTCCCAAGGAAGTATAACCTCAGATTTTGATGCTACAAGTATTCAACGCTGAAGTACTGGCTGTTTTATTTTGACATGGTGTCTATAATGCTGTTAAGTATTACTGTGCCTCTTAACCAGAATGATAGCTGTTAAACCTACAATCTACCTGGTTCTTGGCTGTAAAAAGGATAGATTCTGCAGAACACCTGGGATCACATCCAGTCAGGGACTGATTTTGGTAGTCCTGGAGGCTGTAGTTCTATAGCTTGCTTCAGTATCAGTAGTACCGAGCTCCCCGAAATGCTATGTTAAGTGACACTGCAGAGGCAGCATTGGTGTTACAGGATGAAGTGTTTGTATCTTGGTTTCTGCCAGAATCCTAATACAGAATTCTACACCCTTTGCAAAGCTGATTTGTTAAGATTCTCTTTCATGTGCAGGCTTTAAAACTCATAGAAGAATTCAACCTTGTATTGCAGGGGTTGGTATCAAGACTGAGATCATGAAGTCCTGAAGTTACATGATAATACTGCTTTATAGAATAATCTATGTAGTTTGATGAGCATGTGTGGGTTTAGCACAGTTCATCTTCTTCTACAGAAGATAGTCTTGTGGAATTCTGCAGAACAAGAGAACATCAGTCAAAAAATAAATGCATCTTTGCATTCAACTTTTCCTTAGTTTTATCTGAGGGTTGTTTGTTGTTGTTTTTTTTTTTTGCCTTTTTTGTTTTTCTTTTTTTTCAAAAAAGAATTTATAACTACAGTTTTATGGTCACCTCTCAAATATCTTAGTAGCTATGACAAAACAGAATATGTGGAAATAAGCAGGTTTACACAACATGGTTCTACTGGAATGCTTTGTACTTACCACGAGCAAAAAGTTGTTTTTTGGACCTTACTGGATGTTATTGCATGTCTTCATTGGGATCCTCACTTATGACCTCTTAATGAATATTCAGTAATACATTACTCAGGCATCAGTGAACAGACCTGCAGAAATGCATATAGAGCAACATAAAATATGTTCACTGTACTGCACTGCAGCTTCAAAATGGGGAGCTCTTTTTTAAAAAGTTTGCATTTACAAATATTAGTATTAAACAAAACCTGTAGACAGTGGCATACAAGAGGGAAGAGATCAGTAGCATCTCAGCAGGAAAATTCTGTTCCTAAAGTTTAATAATGAGCACCAGGTAGCTAGAACTGGGCAGTGAAGTTGTGAAATGAAGTGTTTGGGGCACTGTGCATCATTGTTAACACGTTTCAGAATGCAGTATCAGGTTTGAGTAAGAAATAAACCTTGAGGTAACTACCCCATGTGTACCTACCATTGCAACTGTGTAACTACAGATGCTGCTTTGTGAAAACAGACTTGGGTAAGGGACAGTGAAGATGCGGAAGGTGAACTATGTGTTACTTGGGGTATTTGGTTTTGTTTTTTGGTTTGTTTTTTTTGGGGGGGGGCAGGGGGGTTGGGCTAAATTGGCTCACCATCGCTAACAAAGCTAAGCAAAAGTTCTAGCATTCATTCTATAGACCTTGCTCTTAGACTTATAGTCTACAAGAAAGAGGAGGGTAGGCATCCTGCACACATAAGGAGGAATACATTGAAAAAACTGAACAGTAATGAAATGGTTCTGTAGGTGGATGAGGTCGCTAATCTAGAAAAGTTACACGAATACCCTCTCTTGCAGATGTAAAATGCAACCCTGTCCCAGAGCTGGCTAACAGCATGGGCAATACGTGGTGTAGCAGAGGACTGAGCCCTTCGCTGGACTGGACGTTTACCCTTAGCACTGCGCTGCCAAATCCTGTCAGACCTGTCTGTGTAAGACACAGGAGGAACAGCCCCTCGGGTAACAGCAGATCTTACCTTTATTCTATTTCCTCCCGCACTGCAGACTGTGTACACAAGTTAAATTCACCTGCTGTGGGAATGTTTTGGATTAACTTTCCGTTCCAGTTCTGCTGGTAAGAAAGTTCATTCAGTTACAGAAACCTTGTAAATTTCACTTTAGTGGCTGAACTGTCCAAGCCTACTTACCTCACCATTTCCTCCTTTAGCAACAAGCGTATCTGCCGGCCCAGGGCATCAGGCTGCTATGAACTTCTGCTCGGGGAGCCCGTAGCAGCTCTTGTACCACACAAAGGCTGGGGGCCAGAGCGGGCCTTCCAAGAAGGGCGATCGCGAGCCTGACCCGGTACCATCCGCGGGACGGGGAGGCCTGCGCCTTCCTCAGAGCCCCTTGTGGGTGTGCGAGGCAGCCAGCTGTGGTGGAGCACCAAGAGCCGCGCTGCCCAGGGTCGGCACCCGCCGCTTCGCTCCCGTCTCCCGGGCTCTTCCTCCCCACGGCTCCCAGAAATGCCTCCAAGAGCCTCCTCCGCCGGCCGGCTGCGGCCCCGCTCACTCGCTCGTCCTGCGCAGGCAGCCCCCAGCGCGGAGCAGGTGGGTGGTCCCTGCTAAGTGATGGGGCCCCCGGCGGGAGAGCGCGGAGCCAGGGGCGGGCTGAGGCGCCGAGGCCCCCGCTCTCGGGACTGGCTTCGGCGACTGAGCGGGTGGAACTTCCCAAAGGAATGCACCCTTTGGCCTCTGTCAAAGTTGTGTCAGAACGACTTCGTGCCATTTCGAAACCGGCCACAGCGACAGCGGGACGAAGTCCGCAGCCTCCCGCACCCTGCCGCTCCCGCACGCCGAAACAGGGCTGCGAGCGAGCTCCCCGCACTGCCTCCAGGAGAGGCCGGAGCGGGGGAAGCGGGGCAGCTGAGGCGGCCTCCCGACCATTCCCGGGAGGGCTTTCACTTTTTCACTCAGCCCATCAGTGGGGTAGACAAAAAGCGTTAGTTTTCCCTAAACTAGGTCGCCTCGGCTACAACAGCCGCTTTCCAGCGGCAGTGCTGGGAGATGTGAGGTGGTGGAGGTGAAGCGGGGAGCAGCGGGAAAGGTCCTGTGAGGAGGGGTCCCGCGAGCTAGTGTGTGCTGTGTTCGTGCTTGAACACAGTGTTCAAGAGCTATGCTTGTAAGTTGAGCTGGAATTGGCAATTCAAGGCTTTAATGGTGACCCTGAACTGTGTGATGTGTATTTCGGAAACAGGTTAGTTTGGAAGTGAGCTAATAGCAAAATGAATTGCCCTACCGGAATCCCAGTGCGTGTTACCTGACTCCTTACCTCAGCAATGACCACCAGCTGTTTGTAGCAGTCATCGTGGGTAAGCGTGCAATCAACAGCAGTTTTCAACAGTATCCCACTGGGAAGCAAAAAATACTAAGAATACTACAGGGCTGTTGCCACTTCCATACAACTTTTCTGCTGGCTTTTTTCCCTAAGTATCTTCAGTATGTCCTGCGTCTGTGCGAGTTCACTGTAGGGTAAACGGCATTCAAACATAGTGAGGAGAAGATCCCGTAACATTTACTGGGAAATGGCCAAGGACTGGGTTTGTGCAAAGAATCAATGCTACTGTGTTACTGTGAAAGTTGGTCAAAGAACTCTCTAAGACTCTATTTGGGGTTTTAGAAAGCAGACATCCTTTATTGCAGCACTGGACATAGAGGGGTTGCTCCACCTCATGTGTGCATGATGGTTTAACTATGGAGGTTTTTTATTAAGGTAAAACATAAATATGCATTAGTTTTCTAAGAAACCATTAACATATTCATAATTTTCTTAGAGCTCATTATTCTATGTAAATGGTTTATACACATGTGCACACAGTCTCTTAGGTGGTTGTTTGGGGTCCTCTGGTGGTCTTCAATACTCTTCCTCACTGTGTCTGCTAGATGAACTCCAGTTTTGTGCATTCCCTGTTGTTCTCTGGCTGCTGTCCATGACTATGTTTCTCAAAACTTGCTCATTCAAACATTTTGGTCCACTCTTGTTGCTGTTTCAAGGGTATAGTGTCACATGACTTCCTTTTATCTTGTCTGGACAGGATGAGTTTACTTATTCTTTATCAGGGTGGCTAGACTTCTCGAAGGTAGGTATCAACTGCTCTTGAGGGCTTTTGGAGAATGAACCCAAGAGTCTTGTCTCATTCAGAATACTCATGGTAGAATACGGATGATATAATGAAGACTAATCAAGATTGTCATAACTTGCACTCTCTCTTGACATTTTGTAATGACAGTAGTCTCTGCTACGTTATCTTCACTACTGCTTACAGGTGTTGATTGTTTTCCCAAGTCCTTCCTTACCTCTCTGCTTAGAACGTATTGGATGACTAATAGTTCTCTGGGATAACTGCTTGTTAGTCTTTTGCTCTTAGATAAGCAGTGAATAGTGGACAGCCTCTGGGTGGTTGATTATTCATACTCAGGCATCAAACTGTGAACTTCTGAATAATTATTCATTAATGGAAAAGACTACTTGTCTCCTGTGGAACTAAATGCATAGTTAATATAAGTGGTTTGTATTTTTTGTAATGATTAAGAATACTTGAAATCAAGTTGATGGGGGTTTGCAGTATTTGAATATTTTCATACACCTTCAATGCTTTAATTCAGTAAACAAATAAGTCTATAGAAAATGTGTTCAATATGTGTAAGAAATTAAAAAGTATATAAATATTAACTAAATGCACACATTTAAGAACTATTCTATTTCTTGTCTTTTGAGTGAACAGTGAGGTTTTGATTTCTGGTTGTATAGCACCTGCTGCAGTGGAGTCATAGTCCTGGTCCCTTGCTAGATCTTTTAAGCACTCTGATGACACTAATAAGAACCTTCTCTTTTTTTTTTTTTTTCCTATGGGGAGAAAAAGAAAAAAGTTTATTTGCCAATTTCTTCAGTTTCAGTGAGTTCTGCCCATAAGATGTGGCTGAAGCAAGACCTAAAAATGTAGCCTGAATTACTTGTATGCAACCCTGACCCTCACATAGAAAAAAATCCCAAGCACCAGCCTCCAGAGCTGATAATTATAATATTATGGCAGCTGGTGTTTTTGTTTTTCTGTTAGAAGTGTAAGAGCAGGATGGATTCTGCTATGTGCATTACTACAGTTGATTCACGCTACATTAAAACTCCTGGAAAGACAATGGACCAATACATAAATTAGCACAAAGATTAATGAATTTTTACTATCTATGTTGTTTGTGTCACGGTATGTTTAAATTGTGGCTTTGTGAAAGCAGAGCCCTTAAGGTTGTGTGTCAGGCCATAATTTGCAAGGTCATAATTTGTTTATATACTAATGCCTGGATAGGTCAATTATAGGAATATCAAAGGTACTAATGACTATAATGTTATGCTCACATAGAAATGACCTATCAGCTGTGGACTCTACTATCTGATGGACAGAAAATTTATTTTCTAAAAGGCCTTTTCAGTTTAATTATTAAAATCATCATCAAAGTTTGAAATAATTGTGAAGGAGGAGATGTATAATACAACTTTGTCTCATGATATTCTTCTCTACAGATCTATCATCTTGTTTTGGCAGTCACTGACGCATACTTTCTCCTAAACTTCTTTAGAGGTTGATGGGAAGATGTCCTGTACTGAAATTTTAAATGTTTTACTAGGAAAAAAGCACAAAAAGCATCTATGCTTGAGATTATAATTCAAAGACAAAAGGAAAAATGAATTATCATGTAAAGGGCATAAGTCATTGGTGTTATGCCCTAGGGGAAAAAAGAAAGTTAATTATTAGAGACATTGTAAATACAGGCACAACAGGAAAAAGTGAATAAATAAAAGAGAAAGTGAGTACGCATTTCTCAGGAATAAAACAATACAGAAAAACAGAAAAGAACAAAAACCACTGATGAAGAGTAACGGATGGGTCCACATTCTAAAGTTCCGTGGTCCTAATTCTCTAAAATGGGTTAGCAGAAATCAGAATTATCTTCAGTGTCAGAAACTGAAGAGCACACCGTTATCTTTTTTGAAGCTACAAACTACAAAAGCTCTGACTGAAGTAGACAAGAAACAAATTCAAAGTGAATTTGCTGTATTATCTATCTGGATACGCTAAGTTTAGTGACACTTGCGGATTTTCGATAAACTAACCTGTTTCAATTTTGCTACGTTTTCTATTACAATGTATTCTTACAAGAATACATTGTAAGTATTCTTGCAGCTAATACTAACAATTTACACTAATTTCTACTCCAGCTTGTACAAGAATATGAGTAACTTGAGAGGACTATAAAATAGAATTGATTTTTAAGTATTCCAGTTCTGTTTAGCAGAGCACCAAGTGTCATGACCGTCTGTCACTGTTTAAATGTGCAAAGCAGCAGTCATATGTAAGCCTTCAACGTAGTGTTAGAATTGAGGCTGATGCTTTTCACTTCGTGTTTTTAAGCCTTGCTAGTGGAAGGTCAATGTGAGTAAATGCTTTCTAGAGATTAATTCAGAATCTGTCACCTTAAGGAAAAAAAAAAAATTATAGTGAGCCACTGTTGAAAGTCATCATAATAATGTTTATTCTTACCTTTTGAAGGGAAGCAAATGGTAATTAAAAATCCTGCCACTTTTTTTTTCTGGTATTTCTTCTTATTGAAACTTTTCTTCTTATCTGCAAGGAAAAAATTCATGTAGGGAAACCAAAGTCCACAAAATTGTGCCTGTTGATGCCTGGCTATTCAAATGAAGATGAAAATTCCTTAGTTCACTCTTGGTAGAAATGAACTTAAATATTTTTCTGGTAGTCTTTTTCACCCCTTCAGTCTTAATTTTTCCACTTGGATATGATGTTTGCTGTATCGAGATTATAAGGTCTAACTGGAAAGAAAACAGGGACTATTCTAGAAGTGCAATGTGTTCTTTCTATGTGTGGTGTTTTCTTACATCTTTTCAATAAATGTTTGTATGCAAACCCTAGAGATCGTCATGTTTGAGTATTTTTGAAGCACCTTGATAACAGCAGGGATTTAAAAAGCCTTTGAAATGAACTGTGTAGTGCAGCACAGTAGATCATAGTTAAGTATTAAAAATCAGTTACAGTGTTCAAAACACTTTAAAAGTTTAAACTCTTAGTTTCACTGTACAGCCTACCAGCCACATAATTGAAAGTATCCAGCAGTTATGGTTAGGGTGGTTAGAAACAGTTATCAGAATCAGCTGCCCAAACAGCCATTCCCTCGTGAAGGAATTGTCTGCTGGGACTCTAGGAGTTTGCCCACATCTCATCAGTATTCCTTCTTTCTGATTCTTGGTGACTTCTCTTTTGATGAGATGGTAGCTTCAAGAAGGTTTATGAAGCAGCAGAGTAGTTTCAGCAGTTAAGTGCATTCCTGTAGCACAAAATTCTGGCTGTGCTCACTCTAAAACATGAAAAAAAAAATGGAGTTTCCCCCTTCATCTCAAGGGCTCCTCCTGCAGGTGTGTGGGATTGCAGGGGTTTGTTGGGTATTTGTACAACTCGGTGATGCTGTCTTACCCTTAGCTGCTCAGGATCACCCATTCTGTCCTTAGCTCAGAGAACTACCATCTGATCTTTTCTGTCACTTTGTTCCATTACTATAATCTGGATTTTTTCAGAGGTTTTTGGTTGGTTTGTTTTATTTTAACAGGGTCTTCATTATTCCCTTCAGTTGGCATTTTCTAGAACTGTCCTGTTTGGATCTTCCAAACTAGCATAGAGATGGGGCTTCCATCTTGTTGAGTCAACCCTACTTGCAAGCATACAACAAAAAGGCACTCATCTCTCTTCAGCCACGTTGACAGTAGAGGAAAAATAAATCAATTTTTAATAAGGCATTCTGTAAGAAATTTCTATGTGGCATATGGTCTTGTGTGATTGGAATAAGTATAATGATGAAAGCTACAATTAGATATTAGGTACATGTGTGTACATGTAAAGCATGTATGTGGTTAATGTACTGTTGACCTGATCATAAAAAAATTAACCTTCTATGCCTAATTATTTGAATCTTGCCACTTGACACACTGATCATATATAGTATGGACCTATGTTACTGGTCATTCATAAGTTCCTACTACTCAGTGGGTCAAACGGGGGTACAGTGGAAAACTTGAGCTTGAGGTTTGTTTCTATATACAGTTGAGCTCTTCCATCTTGATCAAGTCTCCCTTTGAGAAAGCTGCTCAATGCCTTGACCTCAATTCTGCATTTGTACTTGGGCCTTAAATATTAATGAATATGTTCCCTAAGCTGTTTTCAGTAAACTGCTCAAATACTGTTGCAGTCATTGTGTAAACTTCAAAATAAATAGCATCCTCTTATTTCAATGCAGTTAATACCATTTTTTTTTCTCCATTGTTGTCACAAAATGGATAATACAGTTAATGGTTGGTTTTGTCATCTATTAAATCTCAGAAGTGGTTATACTGCCTATTTATTTAGACCCCTTTAAAATCTCTTATGATGAAAAGTACATGTAGACATAAAATACAATGGTATTCTTACCTTCATTTTGTAATGTAATCTCCTTTTAAAGACACACTCAAAATTTCATGTTGGCACATTTCATTAAATGCATTATGGATAACTTTGGCTCCCAAGAGTATGTTTGTGTCCTTGAATTTGCATTTAAATTGAGAACAGAAGTTGATGTTTCACATTTTTGCTTAATATTTGTAGGAATAGCTGCATGTGAAAAGGAGTGTCATTGCCAGTCACTGTGCGATTCAAGACATGCATTCTAATAGAGACGGGTGATTTTTGCAAGCACCACTAGCTGCTGCCCTGCTGGCATTAGTCCTAACTATTAGAGGGGGACACTCAGACACAGAAAGGTACATCTAGAAAGTGCTAATAAACTTGCTTAGGTTTATATCGTGAACAAGCCGCACTACTAATTATCTAGGAAGCCATTAACATTCCTGCTTTAATTAGATTTAGAATTATAGAATTAGATTCTGTAATTAGGTTAGATTACAGAATTCTGAAGGATTTTTATTACACTGTTGCAGTGGAAGATAGAGGATTTGGAGTTAGCACAATATTTAGCTGTAAAACTGCTTTATTCAACCAGTGGGCTGCCATGTGAAAGGTATGAATGCTTATTTCTCAGTTTTGGAAATGGTGTGGATTTTTGTTATGTCTTGCCTTCCCCCCCCGAATAACTTGGTTTACTTCAGTGGAATCAACACGTAATTTCATCAACATGAGAATCAAAATGAGCAATATAAGAGGGAGCCTACAGAAAACCTAACAAGTGGTGTGCAGATGAAAGCCAGTGGCTAGTTGAATATTTATCATTGCTGAGTCAGTATTCCATGCAAACTAAGCAGAAACTGCTCAGTGGTTTCTATTGCATTATGTATCATACATATTCAGCAGATTTTCCCCTGCATGTTTGCAAAAATATTGGAAAAACAATGCTTTGGAATACAAGTATTTGAATATTGATGTCCTGTTAAGAAGCAGATGACTCTGGTCTTAGATGACCAAGTACACTGGCCTTGGTGCATTTTACCTTTCATCGCTTAGATTTTCAAGGTTTATGCTTAATACAGTAATGCTGCAGTTCAGGAATTACTTATTTTGTTAACTATTGCTCATGGTAAAACTCTAAACAAAAGAACAACTGATGATGGAGGTACATTCCAGAAATATGGGAAGAACTTGGAGGGAGCAGATTCAGACCAGTATGTCTTGTTTCTTTCAAAGTAGGGAAGAAAAGTAAATAAATTAGTCAACAGCTCTGTAGTTTGCTGTGTGATTACTGACCATTTTTCATTACCTTCAAGCGTGATTTCTCTTCCATATGCAGATATTTAAAATGTTCATTTCAATAATCCACTAACAACATTTTTTTTCAGGTGTGCAAGACTTATTTTAATGTGATTGTTCATTCTCTGTCAGAGATCCTCACAATTGATTCAACTGGAAGACTTGTGTGTTTTCTCCTTGCTGCTCTACTCAAGATAGTCTGTGTAACTGCTGCAGGAGCTGCGTCATCACAGACCAAGGTAAGAACTCTCACTATTTTTAACTTCAGTATTTCTGTAATTTCTCTTTGAGTTATGCTGCAAGCATTTTGTTAGATAAGATTATATGTAAGAGACTATCTTTTAGGTATCATTCTAATAGAAACTCTCAAGTTTCTTAGGCAACTGCAGATGTGGTTACATTGATGTTTTAGTTTAAATTAGTATTGCATTTTTGAAGGGCATTGCTCACAGGCCTCACTGTGGTTTGGTTCATGTTGCAGGGTGGTTGAGAAGTGCAGCCTTGATTCTCTCAGATGAAATTAAACTGGAAGATGGGCTCTAGTCAATCTAACACAGCCCAACCACTAATGGGTGTGCAGGCCACAGGAATGGGGTAGGGCTAAGCTGCAGTAACTAACTGAAATAGTGTTTGCTGGCCGTTGTTTTGCTTTGTAGTCTCTACCCTTCTATCAGACCAGGTAGGCCTGGCCTTTTTTCCTTCAATGTTTTTTATTTCCCCTAAATGAAGAGTAAATATTTAATCTCTTAAACACTTGTAAAATCAGTGAATCATTTAGACGGTGGACCATTTTTAGTTAGAGCTTTCCTCTTCAGCAAACATCAGCTGGGATCATGTGAGCATTCTGGTGTTTTTCTTTGCTTAGCACATTTTCTCATGGGTTTAGTTTTGCAGAATGACTAACATATTAAGTCTGTAATGTAAGGCTGCTCCCTCACTGTAGATGGTAGATGACCTTAAGTTGCTCTAGCTACTGAACACTTTCTGCTAAACTTACCTGGAGACAGGTAAGTGCAGGTAAGGTGTCTAAGTTGGATCTATTTCATCATGAAGATGGCAATCTAAGCTTTAAATTCTAAGTTCAATTCATTAGTTTTGCTTTTCATACTTTTATAAAAAGTTATCTAACTTTTTCCTAGGGAAAAGTAAAAGGCAGAGTCAGTCCCCCCTCTACTCCCTTGCCACTTTAGAATGCCATTCAAATTGTTCACATTGTTTGTAGAAACACTAATAATTTAAGGGAGCACATGAGGTCTTTTTTGCTAAGCAGATTCTTTTAGGCACTTTTTTAATCATGTGCAGCTACAACCACATGTTGAAAGTACTGGCTGTATACCCAGAAGTGTGTTTTCATCACACTGTCATTTCTTTTTGTGGCAGCATGAGGGCTGCCAGACTGATGTTATGGTAGCCATGTGGGAGAAAAGGAGAATTATTGCAAAAGGTCCTGTAATGTGCTGGTCAATAATCATGACAACAGGACCCTTCATTACAGAATAAAATCCCCAACAAATAGCACTTCTGGAGCTAAGGATTGGCTGTTGGGAGAAAAAGTCTGTGTAGCCATACCATGGGATCGAGGGTAGTGTTGGCTGTATAAAAATGCATCTAGTTCTTCTGGGTGTAGTATATTGGATTTTATTTTTTTTTTTAATAGGGAAAAAAGTAGATAACTACCATGGATAATAAGAAACTAACAAGAGCTTCTGATGTTGAGAAGAGGGAAGAAAAAATACTCCACTTCAAATTCTTAAGTCTTTTAACTTTATTATATAACCAAAATACTAACAACTGTAGTTTTGGGTCTCCATTTCACTTCTTCCATGATGATCTATATAACAATTACATAATTGTTATGTAATAACTATTCCATCTCCTGGTAATACTAGAGTAGGAATCAGAATAAGGCATGAAACCCACAACCTGCACTTTTCAGCTAATGCTTCTGTGTACATATATGCGGCATGAATCTTGGCTTAACATCTGCCACATCAATATTTTAGGCCTCAAATTCCCACAAGGTACAATTCTCATATACATAACTTGTATAATACAGATATAGTAAATTTGGAGATGACTGAGATACTCTGTACACAGACTTCAGTGCATACAATTCAAAAGGGGAAGGACAGCAATGCTGAAGTAATGTGCATTTCTTGAACCACTTGGAAAAAATACCAGTTGAAGTTAATTTTAATAAAATACAAAAATATCTATCAGCAGAAGATCAACACATCTGCACTGGAAAACAGGGGCATCTAGAGAAAGGAATCTTCATTTAGGCAGGTTCCACTGTAACTGTATCCATTCACTACCATACAAATGCAGCTCGCTCTCGTAACATTCTGACACCAAACCGCTGCCATTCTCGCTGATATATCCACAGCTCCTGAGTTGTATCAAGACAAGCTAAAACAGCACCTCCCTTCCATGCAATTAAGCGGGGATCCATATCCTAAATTCAAAACACAGATTGTACACAATCACTGGTCTAATTTTGCATAGTTCTCCAAAGTTGTACGTTAATTTTTCCAACAGAATTCACCTCTTAGGATCTTGAGGAGGAGGATGAGAAAAGAAGTTTTTAAAAATTACTCAGGAAAAAACAGATAAAAATATGGAACGATTTAAGATGTTTCAAGAAGTCACTTTTTAATATGCCTTCTAGGCATGTCACGAACATCCCGCATTCAGCAAGGTAGGCTCTGAAATAAACTCCGATTTTGATTTTACAGATTTGCCTGATTAATGCTAAGTGAAAATGGCTCTTTTAATGCCATCCTTTATTAATAATAATAATAATAAATCATAATGCAATTTCTTGCTGAGCTTTCTTAACTTCAGAGACCAGACTGCTTCTTTGAAAATATGGCTGTTAGTTAATTGAAACTACTGGTCAATACTAGTACCACTCTTGCTGCACCTCTAACATCCTGCCTATAATGGAGAGTGCTGTGTGCTAAAAGCTCTCCTAAATCTCTTCAGATGTTCAACTAATCTGTGGTTTCGAAAGAATCACAGAATCATAGAACAGTTAGGGTTGGAAAGGACCTTAACATCATCTAGCTCCAACCCCCCTGCCACGGCATGGACTCCTCACTCTAATCCATGTCACCCAGGGCTCTGCCCAACCTGGCCTTGAATACCGCCAGGGCTGAGAGAGTATGTTTTTTTTAATCTTTCAAATATTTCAACCAATCGTAATTTATTAACCATTTACTTTTCAGTAGACAGCATACCTTGGGTCTTGTGATGACTTCAACATTTTCAACCACTCTTCTGAAAGAAGGTGGCATTTTGTTTAGAATTCGGTGTTGAAGAAACTCTTGAGCTTTATGAAACATGAGGCCTCCTCCCACTACTAAGATAGAGCTGTACATCTTCTTTTTTGTATCATCAGATGCTGGTATGAAAGGATATATAGAAATATAACTGGGTTTTAAAGTTAAAATGGCCTGTATTTGTATTATAAAGAATTCAGTGCAAATCAAACTAGATAGAAAACGTTTGCTTTTGAAATTATTTTTCTGTTCCCTGGAGATTCAAAATATTTAGCTCAAGAAATCTCAACAAAGATGCAAATATAAGGAATAGTGTAGCTACTCTAGAAACTATAAAAACTTAGGGACATATATCTTAATTCAGTGAAACCTAGGAGTTACCCTGAATCCACACTGACACTGGTATTTTACAGAATTGTAAAAGTGGAATTCTTACCACAGCAGTCAATACTATGAAGAATGGCTTTGTCAAGGCCTAAGGCTTTGCCTTCAAACTGAGAAATAGCTGTTTTCCTGGACATGTGTGCTGTTAAAGGTTCCTCTGAATCATTTCCAGACATCATACAATCATTCTGGGAAGATCCTAGTTCTACTTCTTGTGGGTACATCCTCTCTGAAATGTCTGAGGCTTGGCCTCTCAAGTCTCCTTCAAATGCACCAGGCTTTGACATAGATTTTCTATCAGCTGTAGCTTTTGAAGACTTAAAAAAAGAGAAAACAAGGTAAACTATGAAAGATGTAAAAATACATTCAGCAGGTTAGAGAACAATACAAAGACTTAACTAAATGCTGTCATATTTCCCTTTATAACAGAAATGTTAAGCACTGCATAATTACCTCATATAATTTACATTTTAATCTGCACTGTCAAAGTAGCGTTTTATTTTGAACTCCATCAGATTATCAGTGCCATATGAAGCCCTCAGACTCTGAAAATACACAGTTCTAATTAAAAAGTTGTCTAGACATCCATAATTCCTTAAGTAAGTTTATTCTTTCATGCTCTGATCCAGGTAACAAACTTTGGTTTCCAAGGTGAGCTAATAAGCTCTTATTTTATTCCCCAATTAAATAATACTTAATGAAAACTAAAATGAGCATTCACATACCTGCTCCTGTTTACTTTGTGTGGCTACCAGATAATGTTCATCATGAGGATCCTCAGGGTCACCTTGCGACCTGTGTTGCAAAGTTGTCATTTTTTGTCCAACAATTCCAAAGGTTGCTGGATAAAACAGAGCCATTGGAGCCTGAAGAATGAGAGATTTCGCATGTGTTTACTCCACAGTTTTACTTTTTTTTGGCACTTACTATTAAAAAAAAAAAACACCACAAAACCACCCAAAAAAATCAAAAAACCCCACCTTGTTCTATTTTCCCCAGAGTTAAATAAGTATATCTTTTTCCATAGAGGTTTGTAAAATGCTTAGGTGTCCTCAGCTTTGTGTAATTAAAACCAAAACAAACCCACAAACTAACAAATACACTTGTACATAATGCCAGATTCTGGTATTGTACAGTAAATAAGTACTCAAATGCAGTTCGTTACCAAATTAGAATATTCAATGGCGAGCTGAAAAACTTGTAAAATTAGAATTCTTTGCACTTGAAAGATAAATATCATATTTAGTTGAAGCTACAACCATTCTTACTAAAGCTAGTAAGGAAGTCTTGTGCACCCACTGTGCTGCATTAGGTGCCTTCATGCATATAATAATTAATTTTAAAACTATCAACAAGTGTATGCTAAGAACACTGCATAAATCATGTAAACTTAGTAGCACTGGGCTCAAATGCTGAATATAATTCTTGTCATTAAAAAACACCAAATAGATCACCTGTAATTTTTCATCCCCTAAACGGAACTGGTACAGTAAAGCTGGAGAATCTGGATGCCGAATTTGGAACTCATGATCTTGCAATCCAGAAATATCCTAAGGTCAAAAACAATGTAGACAAAAAATGTATTTTTGTGTCTTTTAGATACACATGATCCACTTAAACTGTAGGAACAACTAAGAGTAACAAAACTATTCAGACTATGAATGTAATCTGCCTGTTCTTGAATTGTTTAAGTATTTTCCCTTTAGCATGATCTGCCAAAACAACCTTCTACATGCCTAAGCCTCTAAAATGAGAAGAGAAAAAAGAAGAGGCCTGCTGGCCAAGTAACTGAAGTTGAATAACAGTGAATATGCAGCTACTATCAGCTTCTTTCTGTAAGAAGGACAAAGAAGCAACCTTCCTAAGAGTTGGGATTCCTTTTAACTAGAAGAAAAGTAAAAGAACTTTCAAATATTTCAAGTTTAAAGCTTTTCAGACTCTTGTCAGTATTCTACTCAGTAAAATATTACTATTTATTCTGTTTCTAAGCAATTACAGGGTCACCAAAACCAGCATTCTGTAAAAGAAAAAAAAAATTACTTGGAGAATACATTACTTTCCCCTTCTCACCTGGTCTAGATGACAAAATGTCTCCTTTAGGTGCTGAAGCAGCAGGCAATCTAACTTATTAGTTAACTGGCAGTCTCTATATGGGAATCCTGCTCGTTGCATAAGCCAATAAAAACACCTTGAGACATCAGATCCTCCATATGCAAGGCACAGCCTAAAACACAGGGAGGAACAAGAGTATTTTATTTATTTGCCAAAATACTGGCCTTCTACAGTAGGATGCATAGAAATACCAGAAACATTTCAGACATGCTGTGATCATGACTTATATAAAGTTTGCAGAGCACAGTATCAATTCTGCCCATTCTCTTCTTTTGAAGATGTCAGAATTCTTTAAGGTTCATATTGTAACATGATGATCTTCTTAGACGACTAACAGTAAAGAAACTCTGTTATTTATAGAAAAAAATCTCATTTTTAAAGTCAAATTTTTGGTAAGCAGTAAAGTACATACTTATATTTATTCTGCATATTAAAAGATACCTGGTGTTGCGATGGGAAACACCATCTTCTACACAGCAAACACTTGTCTTCTGATCTCCCACATCTACAATGCATGCGCTGCTTAAACCACTTCCAAAGGTGGCACAGACAGATTCCTGGTGTACAACAATTCCTAGCAGTGTAAGAAAAAGGTATATCTAATTTATGCAAAGTGCCAGAGCCATGTTGCTGATATTTAAAGGACACCTGAATCTCTTTTAAAATCTACATAATAGCCTGATTCTGCACAGAGAGAATCTGTATATTTAGTGAAGACAGGGGTGGGCTTAGAGATTTTTTTGTTGGGTATGTCCTTAAAAGGATTGAGAAAAGCTATGAGAAGGGTTGATGCCTGTATTCCAATGTTCTTATTTTTTGTAAGATTAAAGATACTGCTGTCAGACTTTACTTGTTTTTTTTTGTTTTCCTAGTTTTAATCAAGTATTATTTGATTAAAATGATTACAATTTGATTATCAAATTACATTATCAAATGATAATAATTTGATTAGTATCACCTGTAGCATTTTATATATGACCTTTAAGTAATTAT